GAGGATCTGTTGCAAGGGGAATAACTATGGCATTTGGTCTTACATCAACTGTGATGTACAAATGACTCAAGTTCTCCATGAGGATCATCTTATCAGTGCTCCACAACCATCCACTCGCCATGGTCAGTCTGCCAAGTGAGCAAGAAATCAATGAGTATGTTAGGGCAATTGGAGCAAAATATCCAAGACTTGGAGAACAATGCGTCTGGGCAGCAGCAGATGGGCTCAAGACAGAGATCCAGACCTCAGAGGACTGGCTCAAACAAGAGGTCTTCTTCAATGGATGGAAGGCAAATACTTACGTGAATGGGGTGTTTGTCTTTGCACCAGATGGTAGGATCTGCATAGGAACTTTCAATTGCCCTGGCACGTGGCACAACAGCTCCATAAGCGACTATGGAATCTATGACAAGATGGAGAAATTGGACAGCGCCTGTGCTGTTGCTGGAGGAGCAAGGGTTGTTGTTGATTCAGCTTTTGGCTTGTTGGGAAGATACTTGTTCCTCATTCAAAGTTCCCAGACAGATCCAGAGGGTGATGCGGAAAAGCTCCTAATAAATAGGGACGCCACATCGCTGAGGCAGATGTCTGAGTGGGGGATGAGGATGATCCAGGGACAGTTCCCAAGGATGAAGGATAGGCWTAGATTGGAGGACTTTGGGGAGAGGAAGGTGATCATTCACTTGATGATCTGCTTGWACAACTACCAATGCAGTACCATTGGGCACAACCMGATCTTGACAGTCTTCATGAAGAYGCCRCCYGCGTYGGCRACCCGCGAGGAAATGGACAAGCCACATGAACTTCAGGATCTTGGTGCTRGATACTTCCATSCAGGGAGGAAGGTGTCTCCAGTTGGAAACAATGTATTCTGTGAATAATTCCCATGGTCACATTGAACAGAAAAGAAGAGCATGTTAGATTCATCAAAGACTGATTAAACCCAATGACAATTAAACGCAACGACGATTTAATGCAATGACGATTCAACGCAACACATTGATGCAACACATCGATTCAACACAACACGGCAATAATTCGATGCAACGATTCAACACACTTACAGTGAATGGCGTCCACCATGGTGGGGGAGAGTGTTCGTTAAGTTGGTTAGTTTGCTTTGCTTGCTTGCTTTGTTAGTTTGGGTCTACACGCTGTTCATTAAGCAAAATAATGAGCATCGATTCTAGACTATGAGCTTCTTGTTACCACTCGTTACACCGTGTTGTTCCAAATTTTTGCAGTGGTCTTCTGTGCTGCTAGTAGTAGGAAACTGGTTTTCATGCATACCCTTTGTGGGAATCGTTGGAGCCTGGATATACTGTAATGAAGATAAATATATGCAATCTGTTAATATTCTGTAACGAGGAAATGGTATGCAAACAATGCATGTGAGTGCCGATCAACGAAGCGAACCCCGGCTCGTGGGATTGCATCACACGTGCTTAATATGAATTCCGTTGAAATCCCAGTTTTCATTGGTATACTTCTAGTCCCGGTTTTCATTGTTACTATCAGCAATTTAGGAAGAACACGGTGTAATGCGTGCTAACAAGAATTTGGTCTGCTTTGTTTCCTGCTCATTATTTTGCTTTTTGCTTACTAATCGTATACTTTGTAATCATTTTGTAATTGTTTAACTGAGCTAACAAGAAAATTGGAATTAGTTGCTATCACCATGGGATTCACTGCCACTGCCTGTGCGCTGGTGCTTGTTGATGTTACCGGCGAGCGCCATTGCAATGGTTTTGGCCATGGTAAGCCAACGTTCATCTCTCGCGTCTTCGCGTTTCACTCTTTCAGCTTCCCTCTCATCAGCCTTCTTGTCTCTTTCAGCTTCCCTCTTATCCTGTTGCATGAGGTAATCCTTAAGAACAGCATCATGTTCAGTAATTTCCTTCTTCAGTCTTCCATAAGATCTCTATCTTGGTGTTGCTGTCACGACAATGGGTTCTTTGTCATTGTCGACGTCAATGGCAGTTGAGTCGGACGTTGACGCCGTGTTGCTTGATTTGCTGGATTTTGCTGGATTCAAAGCGTTCTCCAAGTCCTCATCATCCTCATCATCGATGTAACCTTTGACTGGATCAAAGGTCTCCTCTCCAGTTCCAATATTTGCCTTGATTCCAATCAACTGGTGGGCCTCTCTTGCAAGCCGTACCAACTCGGGGATGTTGGGATTCCCAGTAGGCATCTTCTGTCTCCTCAATCAATTGAACTTGGTTTTAATGGAATCCTTTGTCCTTCCATATGGATAGCTCCGTCCATGTCTATGAACCACCATGAGCCAGTCACCCTTACCAATGGGGAGGATCTCCTTGATGAGAGACATCAACGAGACAAGCTCTTCTTCTGAGTAGTTTGCAGTAGTACCAGCCTTACAACCTGACCCCTCTACTTTTGATTGACCTCCCAGGGGAGGGACGGCTGCTGGTGGACGGACTGGTGCTGCTGGAGGCAAGCGCCCCCCATTGCAAGGAGGAATGGTTGCATAAGGACCAGTAGGGGACGGCATCTTTGCTTGCACAATGAATATTGTGTGAGGGATCTTCCCCTTGGTCCTGGCTGTCTCCTCTTGATACAAGTCCTCCAGCAGTTGCGCCTCTCTATGTTTCAATCTAACGTATAGCGTAGCGACTAAGACAGGGGACATGGTTATTGCTGCTGTTGTCCGCTTTATGACAAAATACTGGCGCCGGCGCCTTCTAATTTTTAAGTAAATTCTTTTAGTCTTAAATTTGGCGGGTCTTTTCAGTTGAGCCCTACAATGGATTTTGATTCTTGGATTCCGGTCTAGATTTAGACTTCTGTAAGGCTGTGGATGAAGCGTTGACAGAAAGTCAAAAAATTGAGACTAGATGGTCTATTTTTGGCCTGTCTGTCTGTCAAAAAGAAGACCATCTACTATATTAACAGGAATCACCCAATATTTGTCCTCTTCACGTTTGAGGCTCCTTTTTAATCGTGACTAGTAGTGAATACTTCAGCTGACCAAACACAACATGTAGCAAACGACAACAAAAAACTAATACAAGATGGGTTTGACATTTTCTAAGCTTTTCGAGGGCCTGTTTGAAGGCCTGTTCTGCAAGATTCAGATGAGAATTCTCATAGTTGGTCTTGATGCCGCCGGTAAAACCACCATCCTCTACAAATTAAAGCTAGGAGAAGTTGTCACTACTATCCCAACCATCGGATTCAATGTTGAAACGGTTGAATACAAGAACATTTCATTCCCAGTGTGGGATGTGGGTGGTCAAGATAAGATCCGTCCGTTGTGGCGTCACTTCTACCAAAACACGCAGGGTTTGATTTTCGTCGTGGATTCTAATGATGCAAATCATATTGATGCCGCCTGAGACAAATTGCACAGAATGTTGATTGAGGATGAATTGAGAGATGCTTTCCTTCTCTTCTTTGCCAACAAACAGGATTTGCCCAATGCCATGGGCGTGAATGACCGACAAGCTCGGATTGCACGGTCTTCATCCGTCAAAGTGAGGTTGGCATTACAGCAGAGCTCTTCCATGCATAGTTATTGTTATCATTTAAGTAATCATGTGCGTTGTGCAGATATTTGCTAAGTATCCATGTGGGCTGGGTTACAAGAGCAGCTGTTAATGGAAAACGCAGGTGTCAATCGGTTCCTCCAGCATACTCTATGTCACTTTAGGGGGACTGTGTAGTAGGGAGGACACTGCTGGTTACTGGGACTGAAGGAGGAGTTGCCGATACAATGCAAGTTCCTGGTACAGAGGACCCTGATATGAGACGCTCTTATGGTCTGTGATTACGGGACAAATCCATGATTAGAAAGCAATTGATGCCCATATTACTGGCATGCAGTTTGCTCCATCTTAACAAACATAGTATGGGGGATGGGTGGAGCTGGTGCCTCTTTGTTGCTGCTGTTGCCAACCTCCTTCTGTGTTTGCTGTTGCTCTCTTTGCTGCAACAAAGAAAGGAAATAGAATGTACTGACTAAGAGCACTGATAAGGACATTCTTATTTATGTGATGCCATTGTTAAAAGAGTCTCTTGRTAGGGGTGTCAAGCTTTGCTGTTGTTTAGGAMAACTGAGTCTTAATTTTGTTAAGTTCTGTTGGAGATTCKGGCAGGCTTTTTAGTAAACCTTATGATGGACTTGAATTTTGATTTTTGAGTCCCATCATAAATTAATTGCTTTTGGAACCAGGTTATTGGACCTGCCTCAAAAGTAATAAATCTGTAACCACATGAAATAAATTTTCAGTCTGTYAGGGAGGAGTCTATCAAAATTAGCACATTTATATTACTAACGGGGCTGGCCCAACATTAACTTTTAATTTTTGCTGAGTGGGATTTGAACTGGAGTCAACTTGGGTTCAAGAAGAGAGTAGAAACATTGTGAACTCATAGCAAAAAATTGGGGATTGAGGCTTGTGTCATCCTGGACATGGGGAAGGAAAAATCACAATTTTCTAGTAACTTAAAGAGTACCACCACTAGATACACCTTCATCCTGTCAAACACTTTCACTGAGATTCAGTTGTTTCTAGGCTTATCACACATGATGTTCCTATTTTGGTTGTCCTGCCTACATGCCATGTTGCTCGCAAATTTGAACTGAGGAGTTGTCACAAGAGCTATCAATCCAGTGACATGAATRTTTTCTGAAGAATTTTACCTGAAGAATTGAATTGGTAATGATGGTCCAAAAGAAGACTCCTCCTCTGTCAAAGGTGTMATGCACATAGCCAGTAGGGACACKTAAGGATTCACGGTTGTCCCAACCTTTGCTTGGTGCCAAACGAAACAAGAATAGTGCCATCCATTCAAACAATAACAAAAGGGCAGCGACCTATTTTAAGAGAGGACACAAACARCMACCTGCAATAATCAAAATGGTCAAAATAGATTTCGGTACTTCGCACGACAGGAARTACTTGTKGCATTATCAAACTCTAGAGCTCAGCAAAACATCGACTGCTTTGAACTAGCGTAAAAAGAAAAACCTAATATGTCTTTAGAGWAATAGTCCTATCTCATAAATACCAAGACGACATTCTACCCCGAGTGGGTCTTGAATGATTCGAAACCAGTCCTCTAATAACGATATCCGCGATCGTCTCTTCCGCGATCGTTTCCGCGGTACATTTCTGGGGAACGACCGCGCTGGTCATCGTCGTATCGGCCACCGCCCCGTCCTCCGTCTCTATAATCATCATTGCGACCACGATCGCGATCATCATAGCGCCCGCGAGGAGGGCTTCTGGAGTAACCGCCTCCTCTGTCGTCTCGGCGGTAGTCACCGCGTGGTGGCGATCGGCTTCGAGAACGACTGCGGCGGCGATAGTCACCGCCGCGCCCCGGAGAGCCTCCCCTGTAGGGCGATCGATCGCGTCCGCCGCGAAAATCGTCTCGTCCACCACGAAAGTCATCTCGTCCACGTCCGCGGTCGTCATAGTCCATCGAACTGCCGCCCCGATCTCCCATGCGAAAATCATCTCTGCGTCCTCGGCGGTCGTCGCGATAACGATCGTCGCGGTATCTGCCACCGCCACGGTCGTCCCTTCGGTTGCGTCCTCTTCTACCGCCATTGTCATCGTTGCGGTTGCGTTGGCGGGCCACGTACTCAACGGTCAGCACACTTTGTTCGAGCCTGCCTCCGTTCGTGGCGCTCTTTGCCCGAGTCGCTTCGTCTACGGAGCCAAATTGCACGAATGCATAGTTGCGCTTCATATCGATTCGCACAAGTTCCCCGAATGGCTCAAACAGCATCTTCAGATCTTCTCGCTTGGTAGTTTCTTCTTGGAAATTCACCTGTAACGCCAGGAATAATTCGATGCAATGATGAGCGCAAGATGAATTCGGAGCCAAAAGATTTCACGCATGCAACGTGAACATCTGACGAAAACGTCGTCCGCAAAATCAATATTCATGCTAAAAACAGCCAGAATGATGCAGCTTTGCAGCTTACGTACCACAAAGAGAGTATCTGAAGGCTTGATGTTCTTACGACGATCATCCTCCTTGCGTTTAATCCTTCCGTCTCCCCTGGCACACTCGGCACGCAATGCGGACGAAACATTGTCGACCGCCCTTCGTAACAATTACAAGGAACCATTGCAATGTACGAGTACGGTGGTGGAGTTCAAAGACGTATTATGGTACATGGTTGAGAGTGAGGCAAATGATGAGGAGGAAGGAGAAGAAGTTGGTAAGAAAAGGAAGATTCGTATTGCATTACGGTACGTGTGGAGGTGAAAGATGCCGTAGAGATGAATGATTGGAAGAGCCGACGAGGAAACAATGGAAGAAAAGGTTGAATGGTAGGATGATATATTGGCAAAAGGTGGAAGAAGGATATGTGTGCACCCGTAGTGGTCAGTGAAGGAACAAGAAATTCTGCCTGCGAAGACGATGTCGAGAATGCCGGAGGTGAAGCGAAAGGATTGATTGATTCTCCGTGCACGGCACTGATGCGAACTCAAAACAGGTAGTGATGAAATGAAAGCATCGTAGTTGGTGTAGTCTTACATTCCACTGATGGCTGCAACGTAGCGCTCCGCGTTGTCCTTGTCTGCCGCGTTCTCGGCGTCCTTCAAAAACACAAAGCAGTAACCACGTTTTTGGTCAAGACGTTCGACGGGGATGGGCTTGAATGCGCCCGGTTCCGATCCCGGTGGATCGAGCGGTTTGTGGAATATGCTTGTGATGTCATCTGCCTGGTAGTTAGGTTTCAGGTTTCCCAAGAAGATTGGTCTCATCGCGGCGCTACTGACACCGCCGTTTTCGGTCGATTCTTCCTTCCCATCATTCTCTGCGGATTCCTTGCCCTCGGCTTCTTTGTTCGCATTGGCATTACCATCGGCATCGGCGCTGTCTCCACCCACGGTGGGATCTTTGTTCTCGCTAACCGGATCTTCGGAAGTAACGGCTCGATCGTCCATGTTCACTTTTTAACAGTGTTATGTAAGATTCGACTAACTTGCTGGTGATACAGAAAAGACTAACACCGCTTACAAAGAGTGAACGGAATGAAACAAGTGAGTACGACTCCACACGGCATACGGCTTTCCTAGTACATGGTGAATACTCGTACCGTTTACTACTGTATCGAAGCCAGTTTTTTGTATGAGGCCTCCGCGAGGCATTCGTGCGGCTGCTGGCCTCGGAGACATAGTTGAAAAGTGAAATTACAGTACTTCAAAGTAGTACGTAACATCGTTAGAATTTCCAATTTGCGTGCGCTCAACTCGACAGCTAAACAACTGTGAAAAAAACCCTGTCGCGTGGAGAATGAGACCGTCAAATCCAAGGAGTCCGASTACGTACTTACTCGTAGCTAGCTTCGTAGRGGATACTCCGAGTAGTAAGTACGTACCGTACTGTACGAACTTCGTACTTGTACTTCTGCTAATACTATCTGGTAGGTACTACCAGGTACGGTACCAGTTTAAGCGATATAAAATGCGTTAATCGTAGAATCCTACCACGCCCTACAGGGCAAAAAGGCATTCTACTCAAACACCAAAGATTTTTACTAGTAAAATTGTTAATTTTGAAACCAACTATTTAGTATTGATCCTACATCAATCTACTAGTATTTGGTCATTTTTTGACCACAAACAGTGTAATAGGACATTTAGAACTGCTCCGGTATGGCCTGAGAGGAGCTGTTCTTTGTTGGGGAAAAGCTTCCTACTAGTAATAGTGTTGGGAACAGCGCCATGTGGTGTCATTGTTACACAATTAGAGGCCTTGGGGGAGCCGGTTCTCCATTAACAGCTGGTATGGTCAAATTTGGCCAGTGGAGACTGGCTACTGGTTAGGAAATAGGCCAGAACTCTATCAAAAAACAACTTTAGACCACCAGACTAAGCGCCCAGACCAAGTTGATACAACAATTACTTAGAGATCCAGGTCATTGGGAAGCCAAAGGATGCTCTAGGGGCTTCGAACTAGTCATCAAAAGTTACAGTAGTAGTGTGGCCAAAAATTGTTAATTTTCGCTGTTTTTTTTTTGGTTAAACTCGTATGTAACCGTTGAGCAGCGCAACATTTCCATGTACTCAGCGCGCAAGGTATTTCTTGTTGAGCAAATAGCGCATACAAACACTAGTTATTTTTTGCCTTAGTACCAGTTTGAGTGCAAAATAAGACTATTGATTAGGTCTTTTGCAGCGCGCAGCCAGGGGAAGTCGAAAGTTGGGTGTACAATCTTTCATACTAGCATATAAGCAAACTCATAACGTGCCACCAACATCTCATTTCCGTAACTTTATATTTTTACAGAAAAAAATCAYGTTCAACCTAGTACATGCTCTACATTAAAAATTTGTTGATACCGTGTTTTTACATTTTTCTGACCCTCAAACTCCCTTATTCCAGAAGGACAATTCCAGTYGAATAAYGACTATTTTTGTACTTTTTTAATTCTATTCGACTTCCATGATTTCTAACAGGTTATGAGTACAATAAAACGCCCCATTTTTAGCTATCTTTGCTTGTTTGTTAACGCTAGCAAAGCACCAATCAGAATTAGAGAATCCAATTTTGTAACCAAACCCTTCCCTAAGGAGAGCCCATATTTTTTACTGTACCCAATACTACTAATAGTAGTAGTACTACTAGTAGTGTGGTTAAAAAAAAAGGGTCTGGTTACAGAAAAAAGCGCACTGGCACGCTTTTGTGCGCATTTAACTGCCAGACTTTTGCACCTCAACAGGTACACTATGAAGGACAAAAAAGAAAATTAATTAGGAACTACTAGTAGTACTAGTACGAACTCATGTAGACAATAGTACAGTACTAGAAATCATACTTTCCTCCTCCGTAAAACACCAGCATGAACCCCAACAACCCCAACCCCACTTATAATTTGCATATGTATCATGTATGCAAAAAATATGCTATGTGTATGCTGGTGTCCTATGTATACAAAAAATATGCTATGTGTATGTATGTAAAAAATGCTATGAAATGAATTGRCATAAGAACATGACATAGTACTACTATGATAGATACAATTATGATATAATGTGGTAGTATGGTGCAACACCAATCCTGACTTCAAGCAACACATGGGGGTTAAACACATAGTAGTATGGTAACCGCCACTTAATTGAATAGTAGTACTTCTGTTTCAAATTGAAATTCAGGAGCATTCTTTGTGCTACWAGTAGTACCTAAAAAGTAAAAAGTTGCTTGTCTTGAGCTCAATTTTTAGAGGATTTGAATGCTTCTTCTTTGTGTAGCCAAACAAATTACTTCCTCTTACTGCTACTATCCTTGATCCTTGCAAAAGAAGAGCTGGTAGTGTTACTACTAGTAGTATTAGTACTACTACTTGCAGGCAGCAGGCTTCTTGTTGTTCCTCTTTATCACATTGTTCTTCTTTTTGTTCTTCTTGTTCCTCCTAGTTGTCTTGCATCCTCCTCCTCTTCATCTTGGTTATCAGCTGTAAATAACACCAGAGCCATTTTTGTTTCCTAGTAGTAGTATTAGCTTCTTGTACTATTACTACTAGTAGTAGTAGTAGCAGCAGCAGCAGCTGGTACAAAAATAATGTCTTCTTCTGTCAAAGAAAAAGACAGCAATAAGCAAACATCATGAAGACAAGTAATAGTACTAGTAGTACTATTAATATAATGACAATGGTAGTACTAGTACTAGTAGAACTACTAGTAGTACTGGGAAATTGGTATCCAATATACKAGTACTAGTACTACTACTAGTACTTGTGATGTACTAGTACTACGTCACACTTGTACTTGCACTAGTAGTACTAGTACTAGTAGGAGGACACCAAAAATAACCTGGAGCTCTATCACCAGTACTGAAAAACCCAAGGATAAACCAAGAAGAATAAAGAGAATTAATGGAAGAGAGCATTGGGAGATCAACACAACTGATGAAGGGAAATGTGGGAAGGAGGACTTGGTATGCAGTGTGCTCTAAAGGGGAGGGAATGCTGTCTTTGTGTTCAATGATATTAGGCATGCTGTTGTCTGGGYGAAAGGAGATYATTTGGGGAAGTAGCCATAGTAGTGGCAGCAACAYGTTGGYGAAGGAGTGAGAGCGGTTAGGTGTGTGCATTCAGATGCGTTTTCCGTCGGCCTGCCTACTGTACTGTGTGTTGCCCTGAAACTTTCGTTYTAAAGGYTTTGAGAGATCAGAGATTCAAAATGCGCAAACGCCATATTGAATTGTACAGGTAGCACGATATTGCGCATCTTTGCAACAAAACTGAGAGACACTCTTTTCGAAGTTATGGAGTTTAAAAAGTTTTTCTATGGTTACAGTTCGCTGCGCAAGCTAGATTCTTCGTACTTGAATCGTATGATACTACCGTTGCATCACCTGGGATTTCTTGTTACTGCGCTTAGTTATTTCCTTCGCATACRAAAGAATTCTGCGACAAGATAAGGGCGACAATAAGACCGTACAGACCAAGAGCTTCGGCGAAAATCAAGATAAGAATCATACCGACGAAAAGTTTTTCTTGCTGACCAACTGCTCGTACACCGGCATCCCCAACAATTCCGATGGCCATACCGGCGGCAAGACCGGACAAACCACAGCAAAGTCCTGCAGCCAAGTGTGCAAATCCAGTGTATAGAGAATATTGGGAAAGACCGTTTTGAGGGGCAACGATGGATCCCTGGATGATAACGGCAACAATCAAACCATAGATACCCAAAACTCCCGCCATGACAACAGGAATAATATTTCGCATCACCAAACCAGGGTTCATGACACCCATCGATGAAATACCAACACCAGACTTGGCAGTTCCGTAAGCAGCACCGATGTTGGCGAAAACAAGGGCCGAAGTGACTCCCATAAACCCGAAGAAAGGCGCAGAGGCCGGGCAAGTTTCCATTTCAACACTCATGATTTCAAGTTTTGTTTTCTCTCCTTATGCTGCAAATTCCAAATCAAACGTTGGATTGAATGAAACMACAAGGAAAAAATCGTCGTTAGATTTTGTGATATGAAGAATGATGTCCATTTGAACTCGAGTCTTCGATATTCACATCCGAAGTTGGCGCTCACGCGAACAGGCTGAGAGAGGCTTTCTTTGGTACTGCTGCCACCTTCTCTCCCTWACACAGGTCGTACAGAACTGACATAGTATCAACAATCTCTTCCGATTGCTGTAGAGCACTGTGCTCTTCATTGTCAAGCTCGGTTGTGTCTTTTCCCTTACCTATTGGGTACTAATTTATTGTAAGACTTTGTTGGTTTGTTCGAGAGTCTACKAAACGTAACTCTCAAGCAATATTTCCAGCAGCGCAGAAAAGCAGGATTGTTGATACTGTATTATCCTTGAGACTTCCTTCGCGCTATCGGCTGGCTTTTTGATAGCCGCTCCTGCGATTTTCTATCATAAAAAGTATTCGTTAATGAAATAAAAATCAAATATAAATGAAATAACGCGTGTTTGTTTCATTGGAGAAAGGCTTATAGATATACAGTAACGTATATATCATTTTATCTATTATCTACTTCGTATTACATTTGGTGGTTTTCCCTTGTTTTAAAAATATTCCCCCGAATATTTCTTTCTAGGTGCCGTCATGAGAGCCATCACTTTTTTCGTGATTATCCTGATTGACTGAGTACGAAAAGTGTTGACGCTCACGCTGAAACAACCAAGTACTGGCACGAGTACAAGTGCTCTGCCATCGAGTTCAAAAATAAAGAGGAGAATCTTATATCGGTGTTATTATTTGGTATTGGAATGAGGAAGCCATGCGAGCAAAAGTCTGCTGTGTTGGAAAGTAAGTAGCAGGTTTACGGTTTAAGCTGACAAATGCGACAAGTTTTTTTCTATTCTTGAAGACGCCGTTGCGAAATGGTTGTGTGATGATTGGATTCGAAACAAACATGCGCTTCTTCGGATAGCGCACGATGCTTGTCGCAAAGAGAACTGCGTTCCCAGACACTTTTCTTTTGCATTCTTCTGAAAGGAGAGTCACTAGCGTTCGCACATTACTTTGTATACCGTGTTGGCAAAAGATACATCTGGTTTTCAATGGACTCGAGTTACATCTACATCTGACCTTTATGATTATCTGGCTTCAAACTTGCCGAAACAGTCCACAGGCGAATCAATGATTGGATTTGAATGATATTGGAAAGAATGATGTTCATACCATGAAAACTCCAGCGAAGACCAGAAATGGTAAGACCACGATACCATGAATAGTCAATCCACAAATTAGTCAGGATACACGTTCTTTACCCGTAGATGTGTTTCCGTTACGTTTGTGGAAGAGTATAGCAAACGCCTGGAATGCAAGGTATGCGGGAGTTTTACCGTTCTGGTAGGACGATTCCCGATATCAACCCTTGATTCCATTCCATAATATCTTTTGGAATGTGTGGTTGTGATCGCAGGCCCTGAGAGTTGATGGCTTCCTTTTTTTTCTTTGTAAAAATTTAAAAGATGCACATCATAGTGGGCTCGTATACAACTACTGATCTCATCAGTATCCCTGTTGACTTCAATTTTTACGTTGATCATAGGTTGGGTCATATTTGATTTCATTTAATGTATCTCCTGGTGGACTAAAGAACAGGACGATATTCCTTTGTACAACACACGTTGAGAAGACGATTGATTTACTGATGAAAACAACAACTAAGCGATGCTTGAATCAAGTAATTTAATCAATTTTCATTGCTCGATGATTTTTTGTTGCGTTGAGTCCAAACGTAATTGGACACTCCCGACCAGAAGTTCCCACGTCGATGCTTGTCGCAAGGTGAGTTGCTGCTTCGATATGATCATGAATTGAAATCCGTACAACGAGCGGGGTGGTACACTCTGGATCTTGATAGCCATCCGTGGCAATTACATGCATTCCTTTTTTTCATCCCAAGATTAACTGGGCAGTTGAGCGATACACAGATCTAACAGTCCTGTGGATGTTCACTCGGTTGCCCTTACACCGTCAACATCGAAATTATTTTGATTCAATYCACGCCGCGCTAACTTGTGTTTTGCATATTATTAAACGTTTGCGACAGATACATTAAGAAAATATTTGCGATAAGTTTTCGCCAACTCACGAAGCTGCGGAAATAAATTGAAGAGTCGAATGAGTTTTCGGTTGATCTGAATAACATCGAATAGTTGAGAAACCTYTGGCATTCAATGTGGGCCCAACGTTCATTGTCATGAGATGACATATACTGCTTATTCTTCCTTTTTGGTTCCAACAAAGATTTAAAAAAGTGTCGGAGTATTATCCCATGGCGGGATCAATGGTTGTCGWGAGAGGAGCTTATGAACTCTTCGAGCATAAAGAACTTTCCTTTTGATCTAGCCGTATGCATTTTTGGGAAGTYCAAGTCAGTACCTGGACTTGTGTGTCTGTTCGGTTCTTGTGACACTCCAACTTCAATACGGCATCTGATTAAAACAATAATACTTCAAAATAATGACGTAGTCTCAGCGTACCTTTACATCCGCTTTTCATCGCTAGAATCTCTATAGGACATTTTCCATATGAATTCATGTTTGTTGTTCACATCAACACGGGACATTCTGTTTTATTAACAAAATATCTTGAAGAGCATGGTGGGTCGCATATTTTTACAAAAGCAAGTTGTTTTGCCGCATCATCGTTTAAAAAAAAAACAATGGTTTCGCAATGTTGGAAATAATTCATTCATTGCGACGCTTGAAGACAGTTTCAGAGCTTGTTTTGATCTTTTGCCAAACTGAGGCATCTACGGCASCATGCCGGTTMAGGTATCTGTTGCTAAACTGAGGCATCTACGGCASCATGCCGGTTCAGGTATCATCGTGAACGAGATCAAACGCCAGAATGACAGAGAATCGAGATTTTGTTGTCGTGATTTCCATGGAACATCCGATAGAACAACATTCCTTCGAAAATTTATCCTCGCGCATTCCTTCAGTAGATTTCGTACTGCATGTAGTTTCCGTCTAGGGTGTAGAGTGTAGACAGATACAGTAAAAAGGAATTTTGGCKTGCACGCAAACTAACGTAAGCGGATTTTCGAGGTGGTTAACTTTTTTGACACATCAAAAGGTGAACGCGCAAATTCGCAAAATACTGCTTATCTGGTTGGTCAAATCTCGTGCGTGTATTCTGTTCACCACCAAAAAAGGATTCTGTTCGTCTTCTATGACCGCAGCACGGTTTTGAACGGCACACTYTCAGAAAATCACAGATCACGCGCAGATCCTAACGGAGAAGAAAACAAACGGAGGTCTCACAATCCTTTTGTTAATCCAAATTACCTCAATTATTAACCAAGATGAGTCTCGCTGATATTGTGCCCGCCGGTGTTGTTACAGGTGATAACCTGATGAAACTTATGGAACATGCCCGTGCCAATAACTACGCCATTCCTGCTGTGAACTGTACCAGGTGCGTTSCACTGTAGCTGATGTTGTTGACAGCGATCTTTTATCAGATACAATARAATTATCTATTGAAATGTTGGACAATTACCAACAGCAAGCCACACGTTTTGCAAAAATGACGTCGTAGCAGTTTCTTAATATCTTTGCCGAAAGTATTCGTTTTACGGCATTAAGAAAAAACTTGATTTCCTCTCACGCTCTTTTGTTTTGTGCTTGATGTGGCATTTTCCCCCATGATTCTTCGATGAGCAGTTCTTCAACCGCCAATGCCGTCTTAGAGGCTGCMCGCAAAGCCAAAGCACCTGTAATGATTCAAGTTTCCAATGGGGGAGGTTCTTTCCTTTTGGGAAAAGGTGTGAAGAACGCCGACGGAGCCGCCGCTGGATCTATTGCTCTTGCCATGCATGTTCGATCTGTCGCCAAATATTATGGGGTTCCTGTTGTCCTTCACTCTGATCACTGTGCCAAGAAGCTCCTGCCTTGGTTCGACTCTATGCTCAAGGCCGACGAAGATTTTTATAACAAGTTTGGAGAACCTCTCTTCTCTTCCCACATGCTTGATCTTTCCGAGGAACCCGATGACGAAAATATCGCCATCTGTGTTGAATACTTCAAGCGCATGGCTCCCATGAAGATTTGGTTGGAAATGGAAATTGGTATCACTGGAGGAGAGGAGGATGGTGTGAATAACGAAGACGTCGATCCAGAAAAACTTTATACAACACCCGAGCAAGTTTACTCTGTCTACGAGGCACTTTCAAAGATTGGGCCTATGTTTTCGATCGCTGCCGCCTTCGGAAATGTCCACGGTGTGTACAAGCCAGGGAATGTCAAGCTCTCTCCCGAACGGCTCGGAAAYCACCAAGCCTATGCCAAGAAAATGTTGGGCTGTGAAGCCGAAAAGCCAATTTTCCTTGTCATGCACGGAGGATCTGGTTCCACCGATGAAGAAATCGGAACTGCCGTTGCAAACGGAGTAGTCAAAATGAACATTGATACCGATACTCAGTGGTCTTACTGGGATGGTCTCCGTGCTTATGAAAAAGACAAGCGCGCATACCTCCAAGGTCAAATTGGTAATCCTGACGGAGCAGACAAACCTAATAAGAAGTTCTACGACCCTCGTGTTTGGCTCCGAAAAGCTGAGGAGTCCATGGTTAAGCGCGTGATGGTAAGCATGGACAAGCTCTCTACCACCGGAACTTACGAACTTTCTGAAGATGAACCTGCATTCGCTCAACTCGGAGAACTCAAGGCTACACCTAGCCCAGCCATTCTCATGACCGCTGGCGCTGTCGTCGGATCAGCCGCCACACTTCTCTTGAAAGCTATCACCAAATAAATAGGAGAGTGAACAATGCCCAACCGATTTTCTTCTGAAACTTGGTGCGGATGATTCCTCTTTGTACTACGRCAATGGTTCCTTCATGCATATTTAATGTCATTAAAAAATAAGACTCTTGATTTCTAACAGGTTATGAGTTCAATAAAACGTGCCAGTTTTTAGCTATCTTTGCTTGTTTTTTAAGAATGCTAGCAAAGCACCAATCAGAATTAGAGAATCTGTCAGCCAGAAAGGGTTTTCTCTTGCCTTGCTTTCAATACATGTACATATTGTATATGTTTCTTGCCAGAGAACTTTTTCTGGCTTGTTTGTTTTATTGCTGTATTTTGGTACCAAGATGAGGAAGAGGAACAACAACAACAACAACAACAACAACAACAACAACAATCATGAAGAAGTTGACACGGACAGTAGTGGAGACAATAGCAGCAGTTGGATCAGTAAAAACAGGACGCACAGTCGCGGCATGTGAAAGAACAACCCTTGCTGCTGAGAACTTGTTTGGTTCAAGGTCCAGAGTCCTCCAGCAGTGTTCTGTGAGGAGAGCAATGTTATTTGTTCAATTCAATGAAGATAAGGCAAACAACAAAGCCTTACAAAGAAGAGTGCAAAGGTGTATGGAAAGGATGGTGAAGGGCCCTCCTAATTATCTTGAGTGTTCTAGTATGATGTCCTCAAAGCAGAAGGAATCAGAATTATCAGCTTTGACCTCCTCTAAGGAAGCGGTGTTAATCAACTTGGAAGAGCTTGCACTTCTATCAGGCCTACTAAAGGTGGAGGACTTCGAAGCAAAAAATCAGTTCTCACCAATCCAACGCACAGCAGCAGCAGTGGTAGCACCAGCAGCGGTGGAAGCACCAGCAAAGAGCAAGGATGACAGCAGTCTGAAGAAGGGAGCCCTTGCACCAGTTCATCTAAAAGAGAGTCCAGATACTCCTAGTAGTACTACTAGTAGTACTAAGCAAGCTCATATCAAGATGGTTAACAAGTTTTTACAGAAACAGGCTCCTCATACTAAAGATGCTTACAACAATGCTATTGCAAAAAAAGTCAGGTTCAAGAGAGAAAATTTGCTTCTTCTTAACTGCCAGTCCTCTGTTGTCAGTATCATATGAATGCAGGAATGGATGGTGAAGAGTTTGAAAAAAAAATATTGGATGCAATTGTTAAGCTTTATCCAGATGCTGCAGATTTGCCAGGCAAGTGGGCAATCTTGATTGTTGACATTGGGCCTGGAAGAAASAAGGAAGCATTATTAGCAAGCCTTCCAGCTTGTGGTTTTCTTCTTCATCCTGGTGGGGTACCAAATACAACTCATGTTACAAAGTCAGGTCAATTTCTGGTAGCAAAAAAAAGAATTTTTATAAAATAGTTTCCCGTATCCCCCTTTGTTCTTCAGCATTGAATACATACTATCACTACACAGTCCTGCTGGCGTGCATCCAGTAGATAGGAACTACCAAAATTGTCATCAAGAATTTTATCAATTTTGTGATCATTTCTGATCACATTTTTTTTGTGATCAAAACCGATCACATAATGGAAAAAGGGGACCGGAGAATTTAATTTTTTCCAAAAACATCGAAATCGACATGGTTCCAGGGAAAATACGAGAAGTACCAACATGCGGGACTGGAAAAACTTGCACACAACATATTCACTCTTTTTTTTTTCTTTTGCGTCATTTCAGTACTGAAACTTTAAATAGTACCGTGCGGTCATGTCAAACACGTCACGAATTAGCGGCAGACAGGATTTTGATACAATAAAAAATTAAGTACAGGAGTACAGTAGTGATGAAATGAAGAATCATCAGCAAAATTCTCTCGCAACGTCTTCAGCTGGTTGAGTCGACGGCATGATTGATTCCGCCAGCCTAACGTTGCGCTTGGACATACAGTTGACATCGGACCCCTGAGCTGTCTGTTATTGGARCGAGTTAGTTCGTTCCCACTACGATACGACCTAGCCACAGCAAAATCTTTCGTCGACAAAGCTATCTATCTGCTTCATAGCGCCGCGTTAAGAAACGCAACCGGGACTGTTAAAGCTCACTCTGAAATTGTAACGAAAACCCAAGCGGTCAATATTATTTTCGAAAATGGTGCAATCCGCTGGAACAAGGAATGGCGTCTACGGCGCGTGGGGGAATCAGAAGACAAATATACTACTCCTATTGGTGCTGATGCCAAACGCAGTTGCCTTTCACACCATGCACACTCCAAGCTCTCCTGTTCGAGGTTTCGCAAATAATCCTTCTCTTTCGCACAAAGCTTCCGAACTCAACATGATGAGCTGGGAAGATGCAATGTTTAATGCCCAATCGACTGCTTCCTCTATGGCGTCTATATCACTTGATGATCCATCGAACCTTTTATCAAGCGTACCCATTATGTACGGTGCAGGTTTATTGACTGCATTTTCTCCCTGTGTATGGGGATTGCTCCCCCTTACCATATCATATATATCGACAGCCGCTGGAGAACGCGAAGACAAGGAAATTGTTCTGCCGACTCTTTCGTTTGCATTCGGACTGGCTTCTGTATTCTGCAGTCTTGGACTTATTGCCGCATCCGTTGGCGGAGCGGTCTATGGAAATAGCGGGAGTACGAATATTATTCTTCCGATTTTTTCAAATGCGATCTGCTGTCTTATGGCGTTTCAGCTTCTCGAGCTCATCGATATCCCCCTCCCGGCTCTTAAAACTCAAACTACTACAAATAGCCAGAGCAGCAACGAACAGATATTGATTGATGGCAGTGGGAAAATTCTGTCGTCAACGAAGGATTCGTCTTCGAAAACGAAGGGTGAACAGGGATCGCTTTTCCGTACCTTCCTTTTGGGGGGCTCTTCGGCTTTGGTTGCTTCTCCCTGTGCGACACCGGTACTGACCTCTATTCTGGCGTTTGTTGCTAGTAGCTCCAACCCATTACTGGGAGGTTTCCTGCTGCTATTCTATACCCTTGGGTACGTCAATGCTATACTTCTATGTTTTTCGTGTTCAAAATTAAGCAACGGGTGATAACCTTYTATGCATTGTTCTACCATCTTATCTTTCTACAGATATTCGACACCCTTACTGGTCACGGCTGCCACGGGAGGTAAAGCTCTTGTTGGATTGAAGGAGCTCGGAGGAAAAGATGAAACATCAATTTACGCAAGCATTGCTCCGTGGGTAACCCCCTTCACTGCCGGTATATTGCTTTGGTACGGCACCAATGGTCTTTTGACAGCAGTCCTGGGAGATCCATCCCTAGCAGGTTTATTATCGTGAAGAAATTTCTAGCTTCAAGTACAGTAATTTGTTTCTTAGTATCTTTC